ATACCAAATATACGGAGGTACCGTTATATGGGGGCTATAAGAATACGTCGACCTGCACAGACAATTTTCTGTCATAGGCTGTAGTATCCCATACGAACTTCAAATACAAAATTTGAAACAATTCCAATGAATATTGTCGCTAAAATCATCAAAATACCGAATATCGGGAGATACCGTTATATGGGGGCTATACGAAGACGTGGATCTGCACAGACAATTTTCTGGCACAGGCTGTAGTATCCATTACGAACTTCAAATACAAAATCCGGTAAATAATGTCGCTAAAATCATTAAAATACCAAATATACGGAGGTACCGTTATATGGGGGCTATAAGAAGACGTGGATCTGCACAGACAATTTTCTGTCGTAGGCTGTAGTATCCGTTGCGAACTTCAAATATCAAATTTGAAACAATTCCGGTAAATAATGTCGCTAAAATCATCAAAATACCGAAAATCAGGAGATACTGTTATATAAGGGCTATACGAAGACGTGGACCTGCACAGACAATTTTCTGTCATATGCTGCAGTATTCATTTCAAACTTCAAATACCAAATTTGAAATAGTTCCTGTAAATAATGTCGCTAAAATCATCAAAATACCTAATATCGGGGAAAACCGTTATATGGGGGCTATACGAAGACGTGAACCTACATGGCCCATTTTCTGCTTTATGCTGCAGTATCTAATACGAACTACGAATATCAAATTTTGAAACAATTCCGTTAAGTAATGTCGCTAAAATCATCAAAATACCGCATATCGGGAGGAACCGAAGACGTGGACCTGCACAGACAATTTTCTGTCATAGGCTGTAGTATCCACTACGAATTTCAAATACCAAATTTGAAAGAATTCTGGTAAATAATGTCGCTACAATCATCAAAATACCGAAATGGGGGGGTACCGTTATATGGAGGCTATAAGAAGACGTGGGCCTACATGGCCTCTTTTCAATAACAAAAGTCTTGCATGCATAATACAAATTTGAGTAACTTTTTATCATCTTTCTTCATTTCGTTCGGAAGCTAGAGTGATTTCCACAGACGGACGAACATCGCTAAATCGACATCGAATTTTATGCTGATCAAGAATATATACACTTTGTGGGGTCTAAAGTGTATATTTCGGAGTGTTACAAACGGAATGACAAACTTAATATGTCCTCCATACTATGGTGGAGGGTATAAAAATACACTGTGAGACAAAAATCGCCATCATATCAGTGCTCTGAAGTCCGCTATTGGCTTTTAGCCGCCCCAAAGCTGTAATCTTTCGCCTTTACGACACCGTACACAGATTGGTCCGAATTTATGTCTCGTCTCCTTCCTTCGGTCGTCTACAGGTGGTCTTTATTGAGACTCTGTAGGGATCATGGACGAAACGGCTGAAGCTAGAGTCGTAGTCCGTTGGTGGCGATAAGGTTGGGAGTTTTGGAACTTCGGACTACAAGTGTAATAAATGTATTAAAAGGCACCAAATTTCGTACCTTTTTGTATTTTGTTAACGGATACAGCGTAAAATCGTGATATTTGGTATAAAAATGAAATTTTTAAAGTAGTGTTGAAATAAACAGGTATTTTGTTGGAAATGTGCACTAAGTGTAACAACTGTACTAACTTCGGTACAATTTGGTTTTAGTTTGATCGGATTGATCTAAGAACTAAAACTTTTTATATTGGAGTCTCTGCTGGTCGGTAGGGCTGGTTTGGAAATGCGTTCAACAAGCATACGGAAGCTACTAAATGGTACTTAATTTGGTAATTGGTGAAAGAATACTGCTTTAAATTCTAAAAATTGGCATCAGCATCACTGATAGTGTGTTGCGTTGAAATTTGGAAGTGGTTTTGGTAATACGTACAAAAAAGTACGAAATGGTACTAAATTTGATATTTAGTTTAGGGATTGAGTTGGAAGTCTAAAATTTGGCATTTGCGCGGTTTAGTTGAAACATAGCGAAGGATCTTGAAATGCGTACTAAAAAGTACGAAAAGTACCAAATGTAAATACGTACTAAAAAGTACCCAATTTGGTATTTGGGTAAAGGATTGATTTGGAAGTCTAAAACTTGGCATTAGGATCATCTGTTGTTCGTTTTAGGTTGATACATGGCGAAGATTTTGGAAATACGTACAAAAAAGTACGAAAAGTAATAAATACTATTAATTTTGGTATTTGGCAGAATGTATAGTGTTGGAAATCTGAAATTTGCATTAAGAGTCTTTGAGTCTTTGTGTAGGATAGACAAACTTAAGGGTTTCACGACATTCTAATAAATACGTGTACCAAAAAAAGTACTAAAACGCACTAAATTTGGTACCATTTGAAATTATGCGAACGGATGGTAAAAGTGGTAAAATCTTCAAATTTAGTATGAGAATCAATTTTTGGAACTGGACTTGATGTAAGGAGGTGGTTTTGGGGAAATCTGTGTCAAGTGTATGAACTGCACAAAATGTTACTAAATTTTGTAAAATTTCGGTTTTGGGTGAACGGAAGAAGCTGGTAACTTGAAATGTTGGTATTAGTGCTCACTGCTGGTGTGGGTAGGGTTAGAACAAAGAGTTGGGTTTGGAAATTCGTTCAGCAAGTGTACGAAAGGTACAGAATGGTACTAAATAATGCTTGAAATCCGCATTTTGGAATTAGGGTTACTGTTATTGTAAAGATACAATTCTGAAATTTGACATTCAAGTTACTGATGGTATTTGTGTTTGAGATTTGGCGATGGTTTTGGAAATGTGTCCTATATTTGTACGAAAATTACTGAATGGTAATAAATTTGGTATTGGGTAAAGGAATAGGGCTGGAATTTTTAAAATTGAGATTGAGGTCTCCATTGATATCTAGAATGGAAAATTGGATGTGGTTTTGTAAATGTGTACTACAATTGTACGAAAAGTACTGAATGGTACTATATTTGGTATTAAGTAAAGGGATAAAGATATAATTCTGAAATTTGACATTCAAATTACTGATCGTATCTGTGTTTGAGGTGGTTTTGGAAATGTGTCCTATATTTGTACGAAAAGTACTAAATGGTACTAAGTTTGATATTGGGTGACGGTATAGAACTAGAATCCTTAAATTTGATATAGATGTCACTGTTGGTGTCTGTCTTTTAGATATAGAGGTAATTTCGGTAGTACACATTTCCGATTTGATTGTACGAAAAGTATTAAATGATACTAAATTCAGTATTGGGTAAAGGGATAGAGCTGGAATCCTCAAATTTGATATAAAAGTCTCTGTTGGTATTTGGAATCGAGAGGTGGTGTTGGATTTGTGCACTATAATTGTACGAAAAGTACTGAATGTTGTTTTGGTGTAGGGGATAGAGATTAAATTCTAAAATTTGATTTTAAGCTCTATGTTGGTATCTGGAATTGAGATATGGAGGTAATTTCGGAAATATGTACCATAAGTGTACGAAAAGTACTAAATTCTACTAAATTTGGTATTTGGTGAAAGAAGAGAGCTAAAATCCTGAAATTTGATATTAAGGTCTTTGTTAGTATCTAGTGTTGAGATTTGGTGGTGGTTTGAAAATGCATCCTATGTGTGTGCAAAAAGTACTAAATGGTACTAAATTTGGTATTATGTCAAGGTATAGGTCTAGAATCCTCAAATTTGATATTGAGGTGTCTGTTGGTATCTGAAATTGAGATATGGTGGTGATTTGTGTACTATAACAATGGGCAACACAAAAAATTAATTTTACTTTCAGGCGTCAACTCGAAAAAATCTGGTGAAAAATTGATTAAAAATAATTAGGGAATATTTTCGGTATTTTTGGGGCTATTATTATTTTTTTAATATAATATTGGAATTAGAGATTTCTTTTCCTTGGCGACTTATAGTAAAATTTGATGAAGAATATTTTTGTCTTTGACGTCGTCATTCGAAAATGATTTTTTGTTGGAGATTTTTGCAGAAACTCACAAAGAGTGCGACTTTAAACATAAAGCAAACACATAATTTTCGTTTTTAGTACATAAATTTTGAATGTAATTTTCATAAAAACTATTGTACCTAGATGTATGGTTTATTCTGAGATCTATAGTGAAATTTTGTGTAGAACATTTTTGACATTTCTGGCCGAAAACGAAATTTTATGTTACTTTCAGCCGCAAAATCAAAAACAGGCTAAGGAAAATTTGATTAAAAAATTAGGGAATACTTTTTGTATTTTTTTTTTTTTTTTTTTTTTTGGAATTATTAGTATTTTTTTAATTGCCTTGGAAATAAAGTTGTCCTTCCTATGGTGACTTATAGTAAAATTTGGTGAAGAATATTTTTGTATTTGACGTCATCCATCTAAAATGATGATTTGTTGGAGATTTTTGCCCAAACTCACACAGAGTACAATTTTAATCCTAAAATGTGTTTTTTTTTTAATTTTTAATTCCTCGCGTTTAGGTAAGATTTAGACTCTTGACGTCTTCTGGGACCTATAGCAGAATTTTATGATGAATAATTTTGTAGAATATTTTCACTTGCTACGATCCCATTTCAGGAGAGTTTTAAACCAAAAGAGTTTTAAAAGGACCAAAAAGACCCCTTTGTTGACTCGATCGAGGGTTAAAATATTCGACCGGGATATTCCTTGTATTATTATCCGCAATATTGCCGAAGACACTATAAGCCTAAATTTCACGGATTCTGAGGAATCCTAATCCGAAAATTTACACAAAAGAATGGACGAGGGGGGAACTTAGCCCCTCTGTTTAGGTTTCTTTGCGATGTAAACTTTAACCTTATATGCACATTAGCACCAGTACGCGTCAAGTTTCTTCCAACCCCTGAGCGTCGCTCAATTTTTTATAGAGATTTCATTGCCGTAGCCCATGAAAGCCACATTTCATTTTCCCTGGAGCGCTCAGTTTCTTATAGAGACCTCATTCCCGTAGCCCATCAAGGCCACTTTTCGGTTTTCCATACCTCCCCCATTTTCCAAATCCAAACCCCATCCTTGATGTCCTTTTAATATGCCTTTATTCAACTAAATATATATGGAGTAATATAGCTTACATAGCTAAAGCAACTGATCATCAGCAGCGCCACAAAAAAATTAAAACAAAAATGATTTGGAAGTTTACAACCAACCAGCTGGACCGGCAGCCTTTCCTCCTCCGGCAGCAGCGCCGCCGGCACCTGACCAAGGACCCAACGACTCCAAATTGGGAACATGATTTGTGCCAGCATTGATGGGACCAAAGGCCGCATCTTTGGCATAAGTCATATGATGAGCAGCCCCAGCGTTGTTGTTGCGTGCCAACTGCCCCAACTTTGAGGCTTCATATTCGGTCTTTTGTATCTCAGCCGCTGCGGCATGGGCTGAACGTTTCAAGGCTTCGGCAGCTTCAGCTTCACGGGCAGCAGCAATGCGTTGCTGATGGGCCACGGCAGCTTTGGTTGCAGCCAAACGTTGTTGGGCCAGCACCACTGCCTGAGCTGCAGCAGCAGCCTCAGAGCGTTGTATGGCAGCAGCTGCCTCGGATTTTTGGGTAAGTAAAGCGGCAGCTGCCTCCTTTTCCATGGCCATACGTTGTTGGTTGAGGACATTCTCTTTGGCCGCCTGCATTTGTTGTTGGGCAATTAAAACATTGCTGGAAGCCTGTTTGGCGGCAGCAATGGCATTGGCAACCTCACTGGGCGATGGTGAGGAGATGTAGCGGGACGAGCTGAGTATAATGGGTGAAGATTTAAATTTTTATATTTTTTATGCTACGGAACTGATGGAGTAGCCAACTTACTGAGAATTCCAAGGATTCCAACCACCAGAGAAACCGGCCAACTTAAAACCTCCCGAAGACCAACCACCACCTGCAGCCGGCAAGCCATTGATACCAGCATCGCCTAAGAAGGCATCTAGACTACGTTTTGGCACATTTTTGCTGGATTCGGAAGTGGTCTTTGCCAGGGTTTTCAAGGGAGATGCAACTCCAGTCTCAGCCAAAATTGAGTGGCCAAAGTAGGCAATCAAAATTATGAAAATCTAAGGAAATGAAATCAGGTATCAAAAATGAACCAGATTTTTATTTGAAATACTTTTCATACCAAGGATTTTGCCATTTCTTCGAACAAAGGATATTTGGTATTTCTCGGCAAGCGAAAAGAATAAAAATGCGATGTCTGACACTTGAAACCTTCGAAACAAAACTGATGCCTGATCTATTTCTAGATTGCATATTTATAGGAATCTAACTACATTTCGTCGCCACCACCTTGGTGTGGGAAAAGTAAAAGTAGCCTGGAAAGAGTTTCAGGCCAGCCCTTTGCCACAATGTTGCAGAAATGCAGTGTTGCATCTCTTCGTTATTCCCTAATCGATCACGTACCCTTAAATCAATTTACTATGACTTACTTTGCCACCAAGCAATCATCTGTAAACTACGTGCGGGATCAGCCATCCTTCCCAGATTTTTAGTGGAAGTAGGCAAAAAAGACGAAAGGAAATTATGTAAGTTTGCCTATCTCCGCGACCCATTTCAACTTTTCGTTGTAAATTTACTCAAGGAAATTGGTTCAATTCGCTCAATTATTGTAATTCATTTCAAATATTTGAAATGAGGAGGTTTTTTTTCGAAATTTGTGTTAACAACAAAATTAATTAATGAAATTGTAGGCAACTTTCCTCCAATGGCCTAAATTGCTGTAAGGAGTGCAAAGGTGTTAACTGGAGAATTGCAGCAAAGTGGGTCAATTTTGGACGTTGGAGGCATCTAACTTTAAATAAAAAATAAGGCGAAATAAAATTAGAGAATATTTACAGGAGACTACACTATCTTTATATTTTGTATCATCATTTGGTGTTATCTAGATTTAATTCTAGCCTCCAAGAAATAAAATGTAACACGCAGGTATTAATAGAAGATAATTACCGATCTTTACTTACGGTGTCTAAATAGTCGGATATCTTAGCATTTTCGATCTTACCAGATCGGATGGTTTTTCCATTATTATTTTAACAAGGGCATGCCACTCGAAATAAGTAGTTTTGGTCTCAGTTATGTATTATAGTGATAGAGCGCTATCAATAGTGGTCCTACAGCTACCACCCCAGGACCGCTTTCGCATAACTTCGAGGTATAGTAAGTTATCTGTCTTTTTGGCATCTTTCATTTCATGACCTAATCCCCCCTTCAACATGTTGTTAGGGGTTCGACAATCTTGATTGTAGACATTTGGTTTTATCCTGCAGAATTGAATGGATAAATGCGCATTTTCTTTAAAAAGATCATCAACTGTCACCGGTCAATGCGAGTGTGTGTTCCATATCGTCTATAGATTCTCGACAATTTTCAGAAATTGAATCTCCTTTTATGTGGAATCTATGCAAGTAGCTGTCGGGCGAAATGACAAAAATTGCAACCAACTTCAGACTGCTGTCATTTCTAAACCACTCCTCCGACGCCTGTTAAAGTTATTCTAGTGACAGCTCATTATATTGTTTACAAGCGTACAAAGGCATTTTGGTGAGAATTTTCCAGAAAAAAAGTTATTCGGAATTAAAGCGCGACAGTGTGATTTCTTTATATTTGGCTGGAAAACCACAAGTGGCTATCGTTAGAGCACTCCAGCATTTAAATGTGAATAAATCTTTTGTGTCTCGTACCATCGCTCGTTACCGTACCGTATACTGGTAGCGTAGCTCGACGCCAAGGAAGTGGACGGAAGAAAACAGCATCATCAGCAGAAATGGTTCGAAAAGTAAGAAGCGACTTGATCGATACCTGGGTCGCAGTGGCCGAAAAATGGCTCGTGAGCTAAACATATCGCAATATTCCATTCGGCAAATATTGAAAAATGAGCTGGGGATAAAGCCATTGACATTCCAAAAAGTGTAGAAATTGAACCGCAACAGAAAGAAAATAGACTCAAAAGAGCTAAAGAGTTGCCTCGCTTAGCCGAAAGTGGTGAACTGCCGAATTTGGTTTTCTCCGATGAGAAAACATTCGTTGTCCAGCAGTTTCTAAACAAACAAAATGATCGTGTTTACTTGCCAAAGAGGTCAGTTGAAAATGTGCATCCTTCGATTGGAGCCGGCCATGGTTATGGTAGGGACCGCTTTAACCGATGATCGCTCTCCGCTCGTATTAATCGACAGAATAAATGCAGAATATTATCGCAAAAAAATTTTCTTGAGACCTTGGACATTCCAACAGGACTCACAAAGAGTTCCCTCTGAGTACTTTGCCTCCTGGAAGAGAATTATCTATATAGATCTACGTTTTAGTATAGCACCCATATAACGCTGCCCCGAGATATTCGGTATTTCCATGATTTTCGCAGCATTATTCACCGGAATTGCGTCAACTTTCGTATTTGAAATTCGTAATGGGAACTACAGTCTACAACAGAATGTTGTCCATGCAGGCCCAAGTCTTCGTATAGCCTCCATATAACTGTTCCTCCCAATATTCAGCATTTTAATGATTCAAGCGACATTATTCACCGGAATTGTTTCAAATTTCGCATTTGCACTTAGTAATGGGTACTACAACCTGTGAACTAAAATTGTCTATGCAGGTCAACGTCGTCGCATAGCCCCCCTATATCAGTACTTTCCTATATTCGGTATTTTGATGATTTTAGGTACAATATTCACAGGATTTTTTTTTCAAATTTCGTTTTTGAAGTTCCTAATAGGTATTACAGTCTGTGACACAAAATTGTCTATGCAGGTCCAAGTCTTCGTATAGGCCCCATACATCAGTACCTCCCTATATTTGGTATTTTAATGACGATTTAGAGTTCGCAATGGGAACTACAGCCTTTTCAAGGCAATATATGGCAGTCTGTTCAATACCCATGATTTACGTGGAGGTCTACTGCCAATTAAACTACCTATACAACCGGTGCGAAAAAAAACACTTTCTCGAGTTGAAGCCTGTTTGAGGACGATGTTTCAGCTATAGATTCCACCTCACAAAAACGGCTACATTGGCTTTGGCGCTGGAGTTACATATGATACATTTCAATTCCTTCACCAACCTGCTCTTCAAAGCTTTAAATAAATTCCGCACGATGATCACAATAAGCTTAAACGTCTCCGAGTGAGGTAGCTACAAGCTAAATTATATCCATAAAGCAAACCTAACTGTACCAAATGCTGATCGACCTACAACTGCTGCATAGTCCCTCAGATGACTTCTACTACTCTACTACAACATGGGCCTTTCTATGCACTGAAAAAATAGTCAGGTTCAGACAGTGACTCAATAACACTGACACCTTTTTCAAAGTTGTATCGGGTATTCTGTCTTATCCAGAGGATATACGTGCTGGCCTACGGGCAATTGACCTATCCAAACAACCGGCGTAAAGAAAGCCTTCCAAAAAGGCTTTATTAGTTCTAGCGCTGGACTAACTCCTTTCGATCGAATTTAAATTCATGTTAGAATGATTAAATAATGGTGTGTTTTTTCAATTCTATCAACTTCGAATCTCGGTTTATTTTCTTGCTTTCCATGCAGGATAATCAAAATGAAGCAAAAGGCCTCCGATTGAGATCGTAAAAAGTTGAATTGTAGCTACACATCCTTTAACCTATCTCTACTGGCGGATTCAAGTAATAACGGTCTATAACTACTGTTAAATTGTACCGCAACTGAGTTGCTCTTACACATAGGAACCTTCGTAGCCTCTTTCCATACCCTGGAAAATAACCCAGATTCTGAAAGTGATTCAATAACATTGCCAGGAATTTAAAAATCACTTCTAACCGCTTTTTACACCCTCCACCATACTATGGAGGGTATATTAACTTTGTCATTCTGTTCGTAACTCCTCGAAATACTCATGCCAGACCCAACAATGTATATATATTCTTGATCAGCGTAAAATTCTAAGTCGATTTAGCGATGTCCGTCTGTCTGTCTGTCCGTCTGTCTGTTGTAATCACGCTATCTTTCGAATGAATTGATATAGATGGCTAAAATTTTGCACACATGTTTATTTTTCCAGTAGGCAGGTTAAGTTCGTAAATGGACCATGTAGGTCCACGTTTTCATATAGCCTCCATATAAGGGTACCTCCCAATATTCGGTATTTTGATGATTTTAGCGACATTATTCACCGGAATTGTTTCAAATTTGGTATTTGAAGTTCGTTATGAGAACTACAATTTGTGACAGAAAATTGTTTATGCAGGTCAAGGTCTTCGTATAGGCCCCATATATTAGTACCTCCCTATTTTCGGTATATTCGGTATACCCATCAAAATTGTTTGAGATGTGGTATTTGAAGTTTGTAATGGATGCTACAGCCTGTGACAGATAATTGTCTATGCAGGTACAGGTCTTCGCACAGCTCCGATATAACGGTACGTCCCTATATACGATATTTTGACGATTTTAGCTACATTATTCACTGTTTATTTCAAGTTTCGAATTTGAATATGGTAATGGCTTATGACAAACAATGCCTATGTAGGTCCACGTCGTATAGACCCCAATAGACGGCTATATTTGGCATTTTTAAAATTTTAATAGAATTTTTTAAAAATTTTATTTTTTGAAAATTTCCAAAATCGTTCCAAATGGTGGAGGGTGTTCAAAGTTCGGCCCGGCCGAACTTACTGTTTTTTAACTTGTTCAAAGCTGTATCTGGTATTCTGTAGTATTCCCAGGATATATGTGCTAGCCTACGGACAATTAAACTACCCACGCAACCGGCCTGAAGAAAGCCGTTCTCGCGTTCGAGCCGATTTCTCAGCAGACAATTCTTTCCAATAAATACCAAATAAATTTTAGATCCCAATTCGTGACAGTAAAAAGCTGTAAGCCAGTGTCACTTGGAACCGTTCTCTGTTGCCAAGCTAATCTATATCTCTAATTAAATAGAATAAACAAAAAAAAAATGCCACAACCACAAACAAGTACAGGGTGCGTCAATGTACAATTTATTAATAGACGACATCGAACAACGCCAGTCAAGCAAACAGCAATCAGCCATCAAATGCTGGCAGTCATACCGAGAGCTGCCGCTGCTGCTGATCGGTCAAGACAAGTCTACAACATTTCGTAAAATCGTTTTTTGAAATGTGTTCTCATGTGTGTTCGTTGTGTTAATTTCATGTCGATGTTATTGACACAATCATCCATGCCCGTGTTCAATATTAAATCAAATTTATTTGAGTTTTTTTTTCACCTCTTTACTTCGCTGCGATTCGTTTTGGATTTGGATTTTATTCAATTACAGTTTATTTAAATTGCTGTAGTCTTTTTTTTGCGGGTGGTCATTCAGTCAGGCGTATAGCGTATAGCTTGGCGGCAGAGCATAAATGTTTGTGGCAGAATGGGGCGGGCGTATGGCCACAGCCGCATGAATGGCAAACAAGACGGCTGGGCGAGCTGCTTGACTGATGGTGATTTGTTTGAAACCTCATTAAAACAGGGGCAAGCAGACAAACAAAAAACATTCGAACACACCCGTGGTACTCCTTGTACGCACTTATGCTTGGAATACTTCACGCAGAGCGTAAGGCGTCACTGACGACGGTCGCAGCAGCAGCAGCAGCGATGATGAGTGGCGTCGTTGGGTGACCTTTTAAAGCAAACGATTTCTAATTTCAATATTGCCGAGGAGAGGGGGAGTAAGAGGTGGAGTAGGAGAATCAAATTGAGAATAAACATACATCGAGCGAGTATGTGGTGTTCAGTCATTCAGTCAGTGAGGCAGACATGAATGTGTCAAATAAAACAGGTCACTTGCTTGTCATTTATTAACACAGACAAGGGAGCCAGAGCCAGCCTTCTGTGATGTGATGGTGTTGGTATTGGTGACAATGGTTAGTTTTGAAAGCCTAGCACACAGATAG